CTCACGCACACACGCGTTCACGCACACACGCGCTCACGCACACACGTCACACACATGCGCTCACGCACACACGTCGCACATACGCGCTCACGCACACACGTCACACACATGCGCTCACGCACACACGTCACACACATGCGCTCACGCACACACGTCACACACATGCGCTCACGCACCCACGCGCTCACGCAACCACGTCGCACACATGCGCTCACGCACACACGTCGCGCACACGCGCTCACGCACACGCGCTCACGCACACACGATAAAAAAATGAGCCCCCTTAGGTCTTTGCCCCCCCCAATCCAAAACTGCTTTCGGCGTGCCTGGTTCTTCTAATTATAACCACAGGTTTACTGATAAGAATTTATTACAGAAATCTATGCTGAGATACCCCCTAACCATATTAAATGCATATTCATCACAAAATATATCGCTTGTTTCAAGATGGCTGCCGTGAATGACTTGTTTTTGTATTGAGCGCTTAAATTGTATATTTTTCGCTTAATAAGTTAATTTTATAAATCAAGTGCTGAATTTATCTGTTCCTACTATTACATCTGGAACCGTGGACAGGTAAACCTTGATTTTTGAACCCTTGAACCCTTGATAGAGATACTCAGAATAGCTAGTCTTCAAATCTAGTGACTATGGCTGACATGAAAGCGGCACTTTCTCAGCAAACTGACGAGATAAAGAAATTTGTTGGCAATCAGCTGAAGGACATTAAAAAAGAATTACAGGAGATTAAGTCGAGCCAAGAGTTTCTGGCCGCAAAATATGAGGAGCTAGTAGAGGAACTGGATCGAAACAACAAGAAAACTAAGGCCCTAGAAGACAGGAACTCGGTCCTAGAAGCAAGCAACATTGCGCAGGAGGAGAGAATTATTAACCTAGAGAAATCACTAGATAACCTCGAGCAGTATGGGAGAAGGGACTGTGTGGAAATCACGAACATTCCCTGGAGTGACCAGGAAAATCCATCGACTATAGTTAAGAAAATTGCTACTAACATGGGCCTGCAAATGACTGACGGTGATATTAGCACCGCCCACCGGCTACCAAAACCGCGATCTGGTGCAGCCCCTACAATAATAGTTAAATTTACTCGCAGGGACATGCGTACTGCATTTTATGCTAAAAGAAAACTGGCCGGCACTGCTGCAGATCTAGGGTATTCGGCTCACTCTAAAATTTTTATAAACGAGAGTCTCACCAGGGAACGCAGAAAAATCTTTCATGAGGTGCTAAAGTTCAAAAAGGAAAACGGATACCGTTTCATCTGGACACATTTTGGAAAAATTTTCATTAAAAAATCGGAGAGCAGCGAAAGACTGGTCATCAACGCGGTTGACGATTTGAGGTCCCTGTAGATAACCCAATCGCAGATCTGACAAAAAATTAATACCCACCTAATGGTTAAATACGCTTGCTCTTGCTGCACAAAAGCATGTAAGAGTAACCAAAGAGCCATACAGTGTGATATTTGTGATGATTGGTGCCATCTAAAGTGTACACAACTAACTAATAATCAGTTCCTAACTCTCTCAATCTCTGACTCTACATTTTTCTGCAAAAGTTGTCTAGACTCCACGCTTCCATTCCAGTCAATTGATGACGATGATGTTATCGATATTTATTCTAATGTGGCTGGCTATGATTTTACAAATTTATCGTCTAATCACTGTTTAACTGACTCCCTAGCTCATTTGGACAAAAACGACGACTCTGACCCAGACAAATATGTAATTCAGCCTTCCAGCAAATACTACAAACATGATCTATTGCAAAAGCTACTAAACACTTATGAGAATAGAGATCTTTTAATATTGCACTGTAACACCAGGAGTCTGACAAAAAATCTAACCAAATTAGAGGATTTACTAAACCAAATGCCGGTGGCACCCGATATCATAGGAATCACTGAGACTAAATTAAATT